CAGAGAGCTGGAATCTAACTCTCATGAGAAAAGACTGGGAAACTGCGTATCATCAGACCCAAAGAAACAAGTACAACGTGAAGTTACATTTGATAGTACCTTTATTGTTACTTGCCTACAAACAGAATCTTGCCAGACTAAAGCAAATTTCTGCAATAACTACAGGCATACTCTGAATTATTAGAGAGGGTTCGAAATTGCTCTCTTCCTGCCTACCAGACATCCCAAGCTTCACTGTCTCTTTGTCCTCTGGGAAAAAGCCCCTCCTCCCGTGACTCCAGACTACATTCTACCACAATGTTTAATATTTACTATGAAGAGAAAGCAACCATGGAGGAAACTGATGGCAGTTTTCAAATATCGGAAGGGATGTCACAAAGAAAAGAGTAAAGACGTGTTTCTCTGTGGTCCTAGATAGCATAGCAATAAAGAATATTCTTCTGTTTACAGGAAGGCAGATTTAAACTGAATGTTAGGAAAGCATTAAATGAAAGTAAGAACTGAGGGAGATAATGAGCTTCATGGAATGTTTTCACAGCTGGATTTGACATCTATTCTTTCAAGGATGCTTTAATTTGAATTCTTGCTCTGCTCTTCATGGTCTAGGTAGCCCTTTCTATCTCTAGGATTCTATGAGGCTCCTGTTTGCAAGCAGGGACCAAAGTGAGAGACACAGCAGCAGTGCCTTGCCTTGCCCTTCACAGCCCCTGCAAGGATCAGTTGGGCTTATAGCAGAAGGTCTACTCAACCAGAGACACCAGGGCCACCTGTAGCTCCTAAAAGTGGCCCGTACGAAACTCCAAAATTGTTACAATTAAAATGTGTTTCATTTAACGTGAAGACAGAAATAATTAAATGCATGACCAAAGCATTCTGTATTAATGTTTGGCATTCAATGCTTTTTATTTGAATTAAAATTTAAAATGTAATAAAGTCAAAGCAGTCATGTTTTTTTTTTTTTGTCCCTGCCCTGCTTTGAAGCACACCTTGTGTGACATGCTACGAATGGGGGGAGTGTAGGCCTCAGCCAGGAAAACACACAGTCCTACCCTAGAGGAAGAAGGCAAGAGGAAAAGCAGGGACCCCTAGAAAAAGTGATAGTCCAGCCTGAGGGCTACTCTACTTGGACTTGTCTCGTGGAGACATTTCTGAGCAGCTTCAAGTAGTGGCAGGTTCTTTTGAGATAGCGCTTGAAATCAGGGACACCAGAAAAAGACGCAAATGGGAATCCAATGCCACCCAATACTTTCTCTTCGTTGCCCTGAGATGTTTCTGCTTTGAAATGCCTTTTCCCCTCTCACTATGGGGAGGATTGCTTAATAAGGGGGGGGGGGGGACTAACCCCTACGGGGGAAGGGGGGGGGGGGGGGGGGGGGGAGCTCACTTCACCATTTATTGAGGTGGATAGCTTCTGGATACATGACTAGTGATATGAGGTTGTTACCACAGTGGAAGGGTCAAACTTTTGGGTTTGTTTTTTTAAAAATATACTTCTAATTTTGGAAAGCAATTTAATGCACCCATTTTGCTTGTCTATAAGAATTCGTGGCATTTTTGCAGCTAGATTTTAATGGCATAGTCTTGAAATGTTCTGGACCGGAAAAATAAGGTCAGGAAGCCATGTGACACCCCTAGCTTGCTTAACCCAATCCTACCATTTTCCTCTCCTTTCTCTATGTGACCCACACTATTTGAAGAACAATCTGGTCTAAAAAACAAAATTCAACCATAAGAACAGAAGCAGAACATCATTAAAGTTGCCTTTTATTATCTGTTAGGACATGGATACCTGGCTGTCATTTTCTACAATGGTGGCATGTTGTTATCTTTCCATTTAAATTGTAGCCATTGTTCCTTCATTTGTAACTGTGCACCTAAATTACAACTTTTAGGCAAATGGTCTTTTCAACAACTGAGCTGCTATAAAGTCAGCTCTACTCTCAGCATTTAGCAACAGATGTGAGGTTTTGCAAAAGGACAATTTAATGTGTTACGGTTAATCTTTTAAAGGCTAGAAAGGGAACATTATGTTTTGTTTCAGTTGTTCAAATAGATACCCAACATTATAATTTGGGAGAGTGACAGGCCACAAGGTACAGGGGGATCATCCTGTCAGTGTAGCATCTGGTAAGTGTTGCATTTGGGGTTTTTCTCTTGAATAACTTGGACATCCATCCTATCCTAAAGATGTTGAGGCTGTAGAAAAAGTACAGAGAAGAACAACCAGGATGATTAGGAGACTGGAGACTAAAACATATGAAGAACGGTTACAGGAACTGGGCCTGGCTAGTCTAGTGAAGAGAAGGACCAGGGGAGACATGATGGCAGTCTTCCAATATTTGAGGGGCTGCCACAGAGAGGAAGGGGTCAAGCTATTTTCTAAAGCACTTGAAGGCCAGACAAGGAAGGATGGAAGGCTGAATCAACTTTCAGCCTGGTGAGATTCGAACGGCCAAATTGCATTCAGCCGGCAGTCAGCAGAAGTAGCCTGCAGCATTCTAAGCACTGCACTACCACAGCTCTTAATGCTAAATGCTAAAATGCTAAATGCTAAAGTGCCAGTGGTGAGGTGTTGTTGTCACATACTGGGCCAAAAGCTGGGGTTTTCTGCATTTTCCCAACTTAGATACGTATGGTGCTGGCCATTTCTTACGAAACTTATGACTTTTTGGTTTCCTACTCAAAATGGCAGGTACCTAAGCTCTCAATGTTCAACTATTATGGTAAGGATGGTGTCATGAGCAGCAAAAGAGCTGTGGGATTTTGAGATTCAAGTTGCACACCCCTTCCTGAAAGTCCCTCCTATCAAGTCTCAAGGGAGTGGGGTGGCTTCCTCTAACTGCCAGATGATCAAACTGCCAGATGTTCAGCTCCGCAGTACAACTTCTCTGCTTCTCTTCCAAATAACACACATGCGTTTCAAGGCAGGGCCTTCTTTGGGTGTGATGCCAAAAAGCAAACTGGCCTTGCGATGTCCTTGCAGTCCAGACATCTGTTCTGTTTGCTTTTAAGGCATTTAATTTGTTAAGATTTTACAAGATCGGGCTGCATTTTCATCTATTTTTTTTAACCCAACTGCTGCTTTAAAAAAAAATTGTGTCTCATATTTTGAATTATGTTGTTTGGAAGAGACTGGAACGGCGTAGGATCTCCTGCTTAAGCAAGGGGTTGGACTAAAAGACCTCCAAGGTCCCTTCAGCTCTGTTATTCTGTTATTTTATTAAATTTGATGGTTGCACATGGTCTAGCCCTGTAGCATAAAGGCGTTTCCAAGCATATTTTAAAAAAATGGAAAGATGGCATGCCACTTAAATAAACAATTTCAATTTTGCAGTTCTTAGGAGTTGGAAAACAATGGTGATGAAAAAAAAAAGTATGTATATCTTGTATTTCCCATCCTGGTCTACATATTGAATCCAAAGTGCTATCCAGCCCTAAAAGAATACAGGCAGTCCTTGACTTACAATCATTCGTTTTAGTGACAGTTTGAAGTTACGATGGCACTGAAAACAGTGACTTATGATCAATTCTCAACAGTTATTGCCGTCACAGCTTTCCAAAGATCACATGATCAAAATGGCATTTGGCAACCAGCAGGTATTTACAATGGGTGCAGCTTCCCAGGGTCATGCAATCATTATTTGCAGCCTCCCCAGCCAAGCAAAGTCAGTGGGGGAAACTGGATTCACTTAACAATCACAGGATTCACAGCGGCAGTGATCCGCTTAACAAAGCGGATCATAAAATCAGCAGTTCACTTAACAACCACCTTTGCTTAGCCACAGAAATTCTGGTCCATAGTTGTGGTCCTAAGTCAAGAGCTACCTGTAGTTGAGTCGATATTTCATTAGGCATCTGGATAGGCAATGAAATATATTTTTGGTCGCCTCAGGCACCCAAGTTGCTCTTTCCTGATGGAATTCGTGACAGAATTAAAACATACAAAAATATCTCTATGAAAAAAGTACAATATTTTTCTTTTGAAAAATAAGAATATCTTTCTTATTCATAAGAGCTGTAGAGGCACAGTGGTTAGAATGCAGTACTGCAGGCTACTTCTGCTGCCTGCCGGCTGCCTGCAATTTGCCAGTTCAAATCTCACCAGGCTCAAGGTTGACTCAGCCTTCCATCCTTCCGAGGTGGGTAAAATGAGGACCCAGATTGTTGGGGGGCAATAGGCTGACTCTGTAAACTGCTTAGAGAGGGCTGTAAAGCACTGTGAAGCGGAAAATAAGTTAACAGGAAAACTTTTAAATAATGAAGATACCAATGTAATTTTAAACTACATGGCTTTCAAATCTGTTTACAAGAAATTATGACTATTGAATATGCACAATGGCTAAAAGAATAATATTGAAAAATAATAATAAGAATATTGAGATTATTTCAGATGTGAAGGAATGGTTGTTGGAAGTATATGATCTGATTTGGAAAAGGGAGTATTTTCTACTGCTGCAAAAAACCAGAATGCAGATACAACATCATGTGGTATTATGGCAGAGATTTTGTGACATTTTTCAATAATATTTGGTACTGTAATTATATTACAGTAATGCATTTATTAGTCAACCAGTACTACTGATAATGATAAAATACAAGGTAGATTTTCTTTTTCTTTCTTGTTTTGCATTTTTAGTTGTTTTAGGGTTGTCTCTTTTCTAATCTTCATTTTTTTTGTTTACAGATGTTTTTGCGAATTGTGTGCGTGTTAGTATGTTCACAAATACATTAGAAACATTAAAAAATGAAAATAAAAAATATCTTCATATATAAAATAAGGCCAATTAATTTAACATCTGAATATGTTGGCATTCCAAATGCTGCACACCAAAAGTTCCTATGAAGAGCATTAGACAGTGTGTGGCATCAGACATTTGAATTAAACTGCAAAACTCCACAAAATTATTAAACCATGGAATTACAATGTAAGCCTGCCTGCTGGAGTAATGTTTGCTGCTTTTGAGTTCAGCCTGTCCCAAGGAAGACAACCCAGACATCACTGTGTTTGTATAAAAGATATTTACTTCAATTATCACACCTAGGGTGCTAGTGAATAATAATAATAATAATTATAATAATACATCATGTGAGTTTCGTACAGTGATATTGCTTCTCCATATCATATAGGGACTGTTGTACAGTGCTGAGAACATACATTGGCTAACCCAGGTTGGGAAGAAAATACCACTTCCCACCAAGGGAAGAAATCTTTTGCTCTGTCACTGCCAGCCATATAAAACTTTTCTCTCTCTCTCTTTTTTTTAATAAACTTTTGAACAAGAAATAAAATGTTACAAAAGATGAAATCACAGCAACACAACAGGGCAGCTTCTCTCAAAGCTACGTGTACAAAAAAAGAAAAGAAAGAAAAGAAAAGAAAGAAAGAAAAAAGGCTTTTTTTGGTCAACTGGGTCTTTGTGAGGGTATTTCATTAAAATTGGTGATTCTGAATATAAGAAACGAGCTTCTAAAAACACCTAAGACTTAGTGCGTTACAGGAAAAAAATAATATATATATCTATTTATATATTTATATATATATTTATAAAATACTGCTAAAAATGTTGGACACCACAAGTACACGGGGATAAAATGGAGCTTATCAATATTTTTTTTTTAAAAGAAAATATTCTCAGGAAAAAAAATACACCTTTTTTTGTGTTTCGAGTTCATTTTTGTGCTGTGTTAGTAGTCAGGGCAAGTCCAAAGATCAGCCCAGTAAAATGGCAAGTAGTTATTGCACAAATGCAAGAAAAATAATAAAAAAATAAAATAAAATAAAATAAAAACAAATTCTTCAGAGCATAACTAAATGGCAAAATATTAGGCACCGCCCTCCCCCAATTCAATAGGATTGGAATATGCAAGACCTTCCAACTGGATTGTGTGTCTATGTATCTGTGTGGAAAAAAACATAAGCAAGACTGCCATTTACTTTGGAATTAAAGTTCCAAATTTGCAGATATGACATTCCTCAGAGGTTTGTTCAGAATAAGATTACACAGTGCCTGATTTTGGGGGGAGACGGGGGCTGAGGGGGGGGGGGGAAGATCAGCAGAAAACGGCTTTTAAAATTGGAAATGCATAGACTAGTCAGAGAGAAATTAAAAAAAAAATCACAATAAAATCTTTCTTTCTTAAAAAAGCTTCTTTCCTCCGCCTCTCATCGTTGTCTCCAGGTTCCAACTGCCTGACAAAATGGGGAAGATGGGTGAGTGGGATAGTTTTCCTGTTGGAAAAATGGAGCACCAGCATGCCAGAAATGGATGCCTTCAGCAGGACGATCTTGCCCCCAAGACCAAGTGACATTTTACTTCCCACTTCCAGGGCCCTGCCATGTCCCCTCTCAGAGCATGGCGGCACCTTACAGGGGTGTCTACCTCTGTCACATAAGTGGATCTTTTATTATTTGCTTTTTTAAAAAAAAAGAAAAACAAGGACTTTTCAACTTTTTTCTCTTTTCCCATATGCTGCTGCCTCTCTTCAGTACAGGTAGTCCTCGACTTATGACCACAATTGAGCCCCAAATTTCTGTTGCTAATTGAGACATCTGTTAAGTGAATTTTGCCTCACTTTATGACCCTTCTTGCCGCAGTTGTTAAGCGAATCACTGGAGTTTTTAAGTTAGCGATAAAGTTGTTAAGTTTTAATCTGGCTCGCTCAAGGCTGGCCGTTTTGGGGCCTGACATCTGGCTTCCCCACTGATTTTGCTTGTCAGAAGGTTGGGAAAAAATAATCCACATGATCCCTCCAGGACACTGCAACCGTCATATAAATACGAGTCAGTTGCCAAGTTCTGACTTTTGATCACATGATCATGGGGAATGCTGCAATGGTCGTTAAGTGTGAAAAACAGTCATAAATCACTTTTTTCAGTGCTGCTGTAACCTAGATCATTAAACGAACTGTTGTAAGTTGAGGACTACCTGTATTACCCTCACGCAGAAGAATTCCACACTGTACCAATCTCTTTTCCTTCCAAAAAGTTCTCACCTTTCCCACACACATCGCTGTAAGTGTGCAAAAAACCTCTATGGCCAGCTAATAACTAGGCAGAGTGGTGTACCCAACGCCATTAAAGGATAAAACATGAAACTATCATGGTGGGAAAGAAAGACATACAAATGGTTGCTTTGAGATCTATATTATTTCTGAGTATTTGTTGCTTCTAAGGTTTAAGTCCCACTACCCTCTCTCACTGTCCCTTTCCAAAAGATAATTTCCTAACAAATCCCAAAGCAGGTTGAAGTGCAGCCTTGAAAAACCTCCAGTCAGCACCTCAGGTCACCATGGGGACTAGTTGAACATTGCCATGCACAAGGATAGGCAACCACATGACCTCCTGATGCTTTGGATTTCACTACCCATCAGCCCCGATAGCATAAGCAATGGCAAGCTATTGTGGGAACTGTAACCACCCAACACTGGATGGCTTGCCACTGCTGTACCATAGAGTCTAGCTCAGAGTCAACAAGCAAGAATGCAGAACTCTTAAAACAAAGATGAGAAAACTAGTAGATGTCACTCAATGACCACCACTACTGCACGGTAGTATAGTCCATGCTGCCAGGCAACCTCACAGCTAGTATCATGGGGATTCTCAAGTCATGCAGAAAAAAAAAAAGACAACTTGCAAACTCAGGGTGGAAACCACAGAGGTTTTAAGAGCAATTTTGGTAGAGGAAAGCTGTCTTTCAGAGGGAAGTATTTTTTTTTTCCAATCTCAATACATTTTGGGAAAGGGAAAAATGCCTGTTCATGGATTCACTCCCTAGGCTCAAGGAGGCTGAGAGCCCTTCAAATATCTCATAAGTCTGGCTTGGATTCTCATGCATTTGTGCTCCCATTTTTCTATCTTTTGAAACTCTTCAGCTCAAAATATCTTTAAATAAACTTTTTTGTTTTTAAAAATACATATTTACAAACAAACCAGATATACAAGAGTCTATGGATCTTGACTGAAGCTCATGCCCATTTATGCAGATGAACTTATTCAGATGTGAAGTGTCCGCAGACAGTCTGCAGCCAAGATTATTAGGGGCAAAAGAACAACTTTATTAAGGGTCATTATGCTTTACATAAACACATGCTTGAGAAATAGTTGAATAAAAATCAAATCACTTGTAAGTGCTATATAGGACAGGAAAGCCGAGGCATTTGTTCTGTTTGAAGAAGTCCCAGTTAAACTGGAATGAGCTTCTACTGAGTGCTCCAATTTGAAAGACCCAGAAGCTGAAGTTAATGCTTTGGTAGATAAGAGGTTATTCTCTGGATGTGAATGATTATTAGATTGCTGCCATTGTGTTTATCTAGCAATACTATTGCAGAATGATCAGGAAAAGGAAAGGAATTCTGCAATGCGCAGCTGCGGTACCCCAAAGTGTCTATGTGAGTGGAGGAGGGCTAGCAAATTATAATTTGATCACCATCACTCTAAGTGCCTCTCTTGTTCATTGATTGGAGCTCTGTGGAAGAGTGTTTATAGTCTAGAAGCTAAAGAGAATGGATCAAGATGATTTAGGGTGTGGAAATGAAGTTATGATGGGCAAGTAAGCAAGCAGAAAACTCTTCCAGTTTTGTCAAGAATGTCTAAAAAAAGTTTGCCTGAAAGTATGGAACAGAATGAAACTTGAGGAAGATGCGACAAGCTGAAGGGACAAAAGGGGAAGAGTATAAGAGACAAAGTTTGTGGCAACTGTAAAGACACGCTCCCTGCCTCAGAGTGGGCAGGTGCCCTGACCCATGTTTTTTATTATAAAGGGCCACATTGCACCCGGATGGACATAAATTCACAATGCCTGAGAAGCAAAGTAAAGAACCAATGCTAAGTGGTTATGGCACGATCCTTCTTTTGCCCACCATGTGCCAAACAACAGATAGTTTACACTATAGCATGCCCAGAATTAAGAGTTGTCCTCCCTTCCTTTTGAAGAACAAGGGGACAAGTTCATTCAATTAACATTTATTCATTTTATAAGCAATTCTATCATTTAAGGTTTTGCAGGTATGAAAATAAGGGGTGCTGATTCCAGCTCAGCTCGTCTAGAGTTACACAAAGGAAGTAGGGTCCATCTTGGATCTAATGCTCAAATTAGCTAAAGCAAGCCTTTGATCTCTGGAAATCAGAGATTCTTTTCTTTTGAGAGGAAAAAAGGGATGATTTAGGCACCTGGTTCCATTACTGTACTCTTTTACAAGCAATAAAAGGATAGATGATTGATTTGAGAATTGAGAACAGGGGCCCTTCAAAAGCTCTGGGGACTCCAAACTCCATCAGCCCAAAGAATATGATTGAGATAGAATGCTCAATGACAATGGGCAGTGAGGTACAACGATATCTGAAAAAGGTTAATATTCCTGCAGTTTTTTTTAATTGATTCTCTAGTGTGTCTAATCACCAATAAGTTGTAACTGTAATTAGAATTGTCTAGAATACTTTCTGTTGAAGACTATGGGTGTTCAGCAGGCTGTTAACATAAGGGAGGCTGGTCTAGGAAAGCAGCAAGACAATCTCACAAAAACATGTAGCTACTTCAAGGGATTGCAGACTGGTCCTGTATTGTGCCAAGAATACATTTCTGCTTTTGAATTCAAGAGCTGCACAGTCAAAAAGAACATTAAAGATTGTCATTGTACTATCAGATCCTGGAACATGTTTTGTTCCCCTAAGAATAAAGGAAGAGTAGTATAATTTCTTTTGATTTAGTCAATATATTAATTTATTACTTAACACAAGGTATCAGTTTATCACATTCTGTCTAAAGTATTAGCTACGTTCAGTGCATTTGAGGAGCTATTTTTTAAAGATTCCAGAACACTTTTGAGGACTATTAGGCTGACTGAGGGCTGAAAAATCAATGCTTTACCAGGTGCTCTGATCATAAGCTTTCAAATGAACTATTTTGCAGTCCTAAGGTTGATATTGCTGTCTTATTTATGTTTACTTGTTAGTTAGCCCTTCTGATTTTAATGGGGCTTCTTCTTGGATAAGTGACACAGCATGGTACACTTTATGTCCCCTTATCCAGTTTCTCACCCTGGACAATCAGATGTGTCTATCCACATGCTAAATGGATCTGCAATTGGAATTCAACCAAGACAGAGTATACAGTATATCTTTACAGCATAGCCAGGCCAATAGGAAAGATGTCATGCAGACACGTAATATACAAAAATCATCTATGATGCAAACAAAACCACTGAAAATAAATTGCTGTATTAAGACAACCACACCTAGTCTTTCTATATTGTGTCCTCATAAACCAAAACTATTTCCACTGGAGTGAAAATCAAGCTATTGATAAACCTTTTGAAGCTAATTTGCTTCCTATTTACAGAGAGACTTCCCGATGCTGTAGATCAGGGATCTCCAACAACTTTTAAGGCTTGTGGACTTCAACTCCCAGAATTCCTCAGCCAGCTTCTTAAAGTTGCCAAGGTTGGAGCCCCTGCTGTAGATACCATTTCCCTCCCCACCATGAAGAAAATGAGGCTACAGTCAATCTATGTTGAGGATCTTATTTTCCCTGGACCTTCCCTGCATTTTGCTCACGACAAAAGAATTGCGGCTCCTCAGAAGAGAGGGAATTGTCAGATGGTTTATTAATTAATCACCAATTAACTGTATGAAAGAGCCACAGGAATTGTCTCAAAAAGCTTTTTGTTGTTAAAAAGTGGATGAGATTTTCACTCTGCCTTACTTCCGGAGATTGTTCCACGCATCTTTTAAAATAATAATAATAATAAAAGAACAAGGGTTTAGTGATGGATGCACTACAAAGCAGCAGGAAATTGTGAAAAAGAGAAAAATTAATAACAGAAGTTAAAAGAGTTACACTATTCTGCTAGTTTAGCAGATAAGAGAGGTAGTCCAAGAAAGCAATCCGCTCCCTGATTGGGACAATTGCTACAATCTAGCCCTGTCAGATATTCAGTGCACCTGAGCTTGGGCAGCCTCTCATATCCTGAAGCCCCTAAAACTTGTGCCGGGATCATCTGTCCTGATGCTTAGCATTTTGGGAATTGTAGTCTTCATACACCATACAACGGCAGGAATGCCAAGTTGGAAAATGCTGATGTGGGAGTATTCAATAAAGCCTAATGGAACAGTGGGCTGATTTCACAGTCTGAGAAAGTGAGGAAGAAGAAAAAGAATAGCATCTATGAATGCCTACACTTCAGTAACTCAGGGATTGTAACAGATTTCATATCCTTGCTTGTTGGAGGTTGCTTCTATAAATGTTTCATTTTTCGATTTTTATATTTATAGTGCTCTGTTATAAAATACAGAATATCTGTTTTGTTAATGGAAGACACCTTTCTACCTGGTTCCAACTCAATATGGTTGGCTTTGCTATCTGGAATTGGACTGAAACTGATTCTAGTTTTAAAGATATTACTGTACACCAGGGGTGTCCAACCTTGGCAACTTCTAAGACCTATGGATTTCAAACTCACTGGGGAATTCTGGGAGTTGAAGTCTACAAGTGTTAAAGTTGCCAAGTTTAGGCACCCTTGCTGGAGACTAGCACACTGCCATTAATAGATATTTTGTCCAGTCAGTAGGAAGATTGGATCTTGGGTTATAAAAGCTATCCTTGGGTATTTTATTGCTATCTATTCACTTTTCACTATGCTAACACCATTATAATGAAAAACAACACACACATTTTTCAGTAGAAAGAAACCCTTTGACAAGTTATATTTGTCTTATGTTTCCTTGCCCTGGAAACTATGGTACCGGCAAGTCTAAATGCACACTTCAAAAAGCTAGGCCCAACTTAGGGTCTTTCAGATTTTGGGTTACAATTCTCATCATAACTGGGAGCGTACAATTGAGGAAGGTGGATTCAGACAAAAACAAGTATTGAATGCACAGTGGTACCTTGGTGCTCAACTGCTTTGAAATTCATCAAATTTGATACTCAATGCATTTTGATGTGAACATTTTGTCCTGGTACTCAATGTTTGCTTGGTACTTAACGCACAAGCTAGAACTTGTTGATGTCGGCTGCCTTGTGACTCACTATATTATTTCTTATGGGAAAAATCTGTTTGGTACTCATCATTTTTGGTATTCATCGCATCTCCCAGAACCAGTTAACAATGAGTACTGAGGTACCACTGTATGTGTGGAAATCCCATTTTGAGAAAAAAAAACGATGCCTCCATGGCAATGTTTCATAAAGAACCTGAACACAGTCCAGTCCTGAATGAATCTGGCCCCTCTTTGGCCACACACACTCAGAACTCACCCTAGATTGTAATCCAACAGTACTCATCATTGCCCACAGCAGGAGCCAAATGTTTAAAATAAGTCTTAAAAAAAATGAACAACTTCAAGAGTTTTTGTAAGGATCTCATCAAATTAACTGATAAAAGTCTCTTATTTTCAGCGGAATTAGGCATCTGGGAACCAAACAGAGTGTCTGTATAATTTTGCTAACTTTTTGATGGTGGTTTCTTCATTTAACTGAATTAACACTAAACATGTGCCTTCAAATTTGCTTTTACAAAAGTAGGATTTATTGGTTCACTTGGTTACTTTTAAAAGCCTGTACAAAAAGAATCAGGAAATGGAATTTGGGAATCCCCTTTAAAACACAGCAGCAGCTAACTACAATTTTCTAAGGGATGCTGACTTTCACCACAAGGATGTACATGAAGGCTTCAACGCATCTTTAAGACTCATCTCTGATTTTGGAAATGATTGGTACATAAGGGAAAGCAAAACCTACTCATTTTAAGCAGCCTTCTTCAAAATGGTATCTTCTATATGTTGGAATTGCAGTTATCAGTCCTTCCTACATCTGGAAGACGCCAAGTTGGGAAATGCTGATCTTGAGTAGCCGAGGCACTTTAACTATGGTATCTGAATTTATGTTCAATCAATGTCCTAGAACTGTTTTGTTTTTTTAATGTGGCTTTCTCAGTTCTTATTTGGAGCTGCATATTTAAGGATTTATTTTAAACTATTCTTACATCCAAACACATCACAATGTTTAAAAAAACAGTGCTCTGCTACCTGTCAAAACCACAAATTATTGCTTTATTTTAAATGGCAGCATTTCTACATACTGAAATAGCAAACTGAAATGTAATATCAGTAGTTTCCTTTGTAAAGGTTCTTTAACTTGGATGACACTCTGGCACCGCTGGCTTTTCAATCACAGACTAGAAAAGCACAGTTAACTAGACATTTTGTACTAAGGCTCCCATATATGGACTACAAAAATCCAGATGACTTCGAGATGGCAGCAGAGATACAAAAGTTCTTATTTATTTTCTATAGCCACCCAATTCAATCAAGTGATCTGAATGGCTTCTGCTGTTATCTAGTGGTGGTCTGGAGATTCTACAGCCAGGTTTAGTAGTTTGTAAGTGAGAATTTCCAGCTAAGTTCAATTTATTTGAATAATTCTGTACAAATATGACTGACTCCAGCTTTCCAACACTATCTTTCTAGTTCTCCATAATCAAAACATAGACTATACCTGCCCAACATTTGCCATAAAATGTACTTTACAGAATTAACTCAATTTTGGAGGGTTGCGTAACACAGAGAATGTAAATCAAATCCATGGAGTGTTTTCATACAATATGCTAGAGCAAAATGTGGTTGGCAAGCTTCTGCTTCAACGTATCCTGAAAGCAAAGTCATTGTACATAATTGTTCTCCTCTGCTAGGCTTAATGATTAAAAGAACAAGCTGAAGTGTCTCCTTATGAGTCAGTAAGTCAGTCTGGCCTCTCAAGACTGCAAGCTAATTTCCTTCCCTCTTCAGATAAATGCATTTATGTCAACTACTCTCTGACACCAGAGAGTATAGGAAGAACTCAAATCATCCCAAGAGGGGCACTGATACTCCTCTGCCAATTTAATTGTTAAGTTCAATTCAATGCAGCTTGTAATTTTCCTATTTCAAATAAACTCTAAGAAATCCAAAGCTGCTGTGGTTGCCTCTACTCAAGGCTGGCTGAAAGCTTGCATTACAATAATCCCACCTCAAAGGGAAACAGAGCAATATGGAAATAAAGGAGTTCCTTTCCACAGTACCTATCTCGCTGACAGCGTTGAGAGGAAGGTTGCTCAGTCATTCTCCTTGTTGCTTGAAGGCTGAAATTAGCTGACAAAAAATCTCTTTGGAAGGGGAAAGCTGGGGGTCCCCTGGCTACTCCAACTGGCGCCTGCTCTGCCCCTTGTAGGCAAAGTGAAAGATGTACCATCTACCCACAACTGACTGAAACCTTGTGGCTAACCGGGGCTTCAAAGGAGGGCTGTGAAATTAATATAAATCTCTAAAAGTGGAAACCAGATGAGCAGCAGCCTCCATATTATCTATGGCAGAAATAAAACAGCATGTCAGCCATGGAATGACAGACAGCATGTTGCTGAGGATTCTGGGTATATTCTGGGACAGAGAATTGGTTTAAGCTGGGGTGCTAGGCAGAGTTACAGCTTTTACTGAATGGAGTGTATTCGCATTGCAGGACAGGTAGATGGGACGGCTGCTTTTTCAGGAAAACTGACTAGCATTACAGATATTATCATCAAGAGTTTCCTGGACCAATCTAAAAAAACAACCACCCGATTTCTTGAGTGTCTGGAAGATAGATAGATGAATACACAAGATAGATAGATGGATACTCCAAGAGTCTTCAAAAATACAGAAAGAGATTGTACATTATGCTATGCCGTGGGTTGTTTTGAAATGGTTTACTTAATCAACAACCACTGGCTGGGTCTGCACAAAAGAAGTTGGAAAAAGCAACAATCCTGTCCCAACTAACCAATCAACATCATAACTTAACTCGTGAACCAGGGGGCAGAAATTCTAGTTAGAAAAGCAGTCAACACTATCTACTAGTTTGAAAAGTGTTGTATATATGTGATTTAAGTTGCAAGTGGACTAATGTGTCAATCTTCACAGTGGACAGTGGACCAAATATGCAGTGAGGCTGCAGCGGGCAATAGAGCAGGCACCCAAGCACAAATCCTTCCTAAATGGCTAACAAGAGAAGACTGATGATTGCTTTAGGTAGAGTAAATCTTCAGTCAATTATTTTAACTGGGTGATGTACTTCTACAATTTAAGGGACAGAATCAGAAAATATACATTTACAGAATGTTGCTCCCTTCTTAATTATAGTTCTCTTGTTCGAGGCATCAAATAGCCTCCCACCATCCAGTCAAACTTCAAGAAGTATTGGGACTACAACTCACAGAACTGCCAGTCAATAGCTAAAGAACACCAGGATCAGGAGTTAAACCTTTTCAGAGAGACACAAGAAAGAAAGCTCTCGAATGGCACCCTCCTCCAAAATCTCCTGAACCTCAGTCAGAAAATACAGCATCAGGCAAACTACCAAAACTTGCCATTAACTCTGTATGGCAGAAATCTCCAATAAGAGCTAAATCTACCCATAGAAAGTAGAGTCCTATCATACTAGGCCAAGATGGTACTCAAACTGTTAAGACCAACACCGGGATAACTAATGGCACCCTTGTTAATAAGATATGGATTTTTGAGAAATGTTGGCCACCCTGGTTCTCTCAATTACAGCCGTTCTTTTCAAACTGAGAACAGAAATGACCAAGAGAGCCTGAACATGATTAAAGTGCCAAATTAATTAAATCTCCAGGAACTTCCTGAATTGAATGTGCAGCTATGAGCACTACCACTTTTCATTTGATCTACCTGGCTTAAACTCTGCAACCATTATTGGTTGCAATAAGCCACATGTTCTTGAGCAGGCTTTTCCCTCGGGGAAGAATGAAACAATACCACTTTGCTGCAACAGGAAGTACTGCCAAACTTGAAAAGAAGAGGTAAATCCGAATTCGTAATTTCCTTGCTAAAATCCAAGTGTATCTGGATGGGAAAGCACATGAAAGACAGGAGAATATTTTCTTTTTCCCAAGGCACTTAAATATTGCTTATTAGGGCAAATGGCAGAACCCCAAGTGCTAGGCTGCCCTGTGTCACATTAGTGATATCTCTCCATGCGTTATGGAGAAGAGGCACCCAGGATGTTGATAGAATGAAACTGAGGGAAAAGGGAGGTCTTAACTTTAGTGGCTAACTGAACTGAACACACTGGAAAGTATTTAAGAGGAAGACAATAAACCAGAACTGGGATATTGCTCCGTTGCCTAAAGAAATATACAGAAATTGGAAGGCTAAAAACTAATTGTGTGCTTGCTGGGAAGCTAAAACCTAATGGAAGTGAAGCAGCGCAAGTGTTTTTTTAAATCTTGTCAGAGAATGAAGAGCTGCTTCCAGTTTTGCAAAGGAAGTGGGGATTTCTCATTTTATGTGGAAGGCAGGTCTTTAATTTGAAGCCATGTCACATGCTGTAACTGTCCATGTTGGGACCAGATGGGTGGCAGCTATCACAAGCATTCTATAATCAATTTTCTAGAAAGCTGGCCTTAAGATCTCAAGGTGCTCTAAAGCAGCGTTTCTCAAGCTTGGCAACTTGCAGATGTGTGGACTTCAACTCCCAGAATTCCCCAGCCAGTATGCTGACTGGAGAATTCTGGGAGCTGAAGTCCACATAGCTTCAAGTTGCCGAGCTCGAGAAATGTTGTTTTAAAGGGAAAATGTGGCTGTCCCATTATTGATTCTCAAGCCAGAATCTGTCCCTAATCTTGCTTATATATGTACAGATTTGCACCTTCAAGTCATGATAAGAGCTCTTTGTGCATCTTAAAGATAACATTTCATATCCCCCAAACAGCCAAGAAACTATAAAATTAACAGAAAAAAGTGGGAAAAGCAAACCTGCCTTCCAGCCTCCTAGAGCTTTTGTTCTGGACCATGAAAAGGCATTTTTTGTTGTTGTTGCTGTTGTTAAAGCTACTGAACTCTTAATTTTGTGAAGACTTAATTAAGTGCTGCTGTTGCATATTGAAGACATGATAAAAACCTAATTTCTGTTTTTTTTAAATAAAGAAAAAGAATACACAGGGAAGGTAATTTCACATTTTACAGTACTGTCCCCTCCCCAAAACAGACTTAGTGACCAATTAATACAACTACATTGAGGTGTAATATTGGGAATATATCTTTAAAGTCAGAATGTCTCTTCCCCAACCCCTCCCACAATATCATAAAGTAAATATTAATTAGAACATAAGTCATGAATGCACCATTAAAGTGTCATCAAAAGATGTTGACCTAAGCAGTTTTCCATGATACACAATACGGCCCTCCAAAAAAAAAAAAAAAAGAAATCTGTCAATAATATACAGTTTGACAACTACATCTTGTAAATTAAACCCAATACTGCCGGCAGTCTATCCCTCTAAAGAATATTTGCCCCTTTTGTCCTTTCCTAGTAATCAGATAATAAAATACAGCACCTATAAATAAGCCAAAAAAATAATAACTATATCCATGTATGCATGTGTATGTGTATGTATATATATCTATATATATATACACACACATTCATACCCATGCATACACACCAAAATCATCTATTGTTAGTTTTAAAGATATGGCAATAAAGGAATCTAAATCAGCGAATCTGTAGAAGCCATAACTGATAAAACAGCTTATTGAAAAAAGGTGGCAGTAATGCACTCTAAGCGTGCACAAGTACGTAAGAAAATACCAACGTATAAAATTGCACACATGCACACACACACATACGCACACTCATTTCTCCATACACTTCTATGCTCGCGCATATACACATAGACAACAGGAGGAGCTAGAGACAATTTGGAAAATCGATTCTGTACTTTGATCGGCCCTGCAGCTGTCATAAAATGACAGGAAGAGCTAAATTATTTTGGGAGAGGAGAACAGTTCCTGTCGTGTGCTTTGGTTAGCCATTTTGTAGTTTGACGTTGTGATAATCAAGGGTTTTGTCCTCTACTTCTGGGCTCACTCCCTTTTTGTAACCAGTATATGCCATGGGACCATGGGTAATAATTTAGGAGTGCTTAAAGATACTCCAAAGAGGCTGAAACAGTTGCCCTTATTCTCTGGAGTAGGTGAGACCAGAATAGCACAATGGCTGATGAAATACCAGTTAAGCCCCAGATCGTACTAAAATAATGGGCCCCAGTAATATTGTCCTATGAACTATTGCCAGCTAGGGACAATGGAAACTCATCTTGCTGGGTAAGGCTTCTTGTTGTACCACCACACTCTTTTTGAAACTGATACCAGCTTCATCTTTCCTGCCAACCAACCCCTCTCTGTCAAAAATCCCCCCCCACACACTGTATTTTGTGTGGCGTATTATCATTATGCCACCCGCCTAATTGCCTGGCGTGTGTTAAGGAGTGTTTCCAGGTGCCCATGAAATTTATTTTTTTCTTTCAAAAAGCTGGTGTGTGTTTTTCTTCTTACAGGTCACATGGACCAATGATTAATGTAGCATGTGCAATCAGATGGTATTGAGGACTAGTGACTTATATGGACTTGTTGGCAAGGCTGGCATAATGCAATTTAATCTGAACCGATCAAGTACATCCCTCTTCCAAGCTGTCTCCCACCCCTCCCAGAATGAGGTCTGATCCGCGTGCTTTGTGGTTAGAGGTTAAAAAGCAGATTATAAAATACCTAGATTTCAGAATTTTTCTTCTTCTTTTTTTCCTGTCCTGATTTGGCCTAAAATGGAGTGTATTAAACAAATTCCAGCCAACAAAGAGACTAGAATCAGTTAAAGCTATGAAACAATGTGCACTACAAGTCAATTCCACTTTACAAGAAAAACACTGAAGTCAGCTACCACAAATTAAGATGTTTTCCTGATGTCTTTTTTTTTGTCTGTTTAAAAAATACATGGAGTAAATGTGTTTTTTTTTTTAAACCCCAAGTTTCAAACAATACTCTTTCTTGAAAATATTTAGGAATTCAAACTAGTGTGTTTAGAGTCGGGTTGACTGTGCAATCTCTTAGTGGCAACTGAAGAGCTACAAAACAACTTTTTATTTTAATCTCAAAAAATCTCTCCCCTCCCATCTTTTTGTTTTCCTGGTTAAAGAAGATAATAGTGTATTATTATCGCTCTGTTTAGCCATTAGATGGCTGATAAAAAGCCCCCCTTTTAAATATGTGGGTTTAATTTTTTTTCTTGTTTGTATATATATATTTGTTTTAAAGCCCACACCAAAGAGGAGGGCAAAAGGCAAAAGCTGTATGAGTTTTTTTTTTCTTCCCCAGAAACTGTGGAAATCACTTTAGGGCAATTAATAGAAACACTTCAGGGTACAAAAAGCTGGACAAGTTTCAGTTTTCTTCCTTGAAAACACAAACATAAAACTGGGCTTAAAACACTCCTTTTGTTCTCTATATGCACCTTGGCCTATGGCATTTTTTGCCCCGTGGCCTGCAGGGCGGTAAGTGCGGGACACAATAGAAACCAACAGAGGTCCAAGTTTTAATTTCCCCAGCCCTGTGGAGCTGGGTGCGCTTAATCTCAAAACTCCCATTCAACGGGCTCCTCTCGACTTGCAGCCTTCTCCAAACGGTGGATTATACTGTTCAAATTTGCTGCCTTCTTTTTCCTCAAGGTGTTGTCCCGTGTGTTCTTGGAGCACGCTGCCTCAGAAAAGCTGAACAAGCTCTTGAGTGAGTTGGATTTCTGAGAGCTGGTGATGGCCAGCGTGGAACTGGTACTTGGCACAATGGGCACTTTCTCCACACTTTCTCCCCTGGGCTTGCAGGAGCTCTGCCCTGCAAGGACTGAGGTAGAGGCATCCTCTTCTGGAGCACAGTTGGGCCTGGCCTCCAGAGTTTCTCCTGAATGTTGAGAGCTCAGTGGAGAACCCTGACGTGGTGCTTTGAGCCTTCCCTCGTCATCTGTGTCTTCCAAGCTCTCCATTCCCAACTGGAATGTCTCCGTTTTCTCCGAAGATCCGGCGTCTCGCAGTGCCTCTTCCCTTGCTTCGAAAGCTGACGCTGCTCGCCCTCCCTGAGACTTCATGGTTGCATTGCTGTACTCATCTGCTTCCAGGCTGCCTTGTTTTGTATCCGATGGGCCTTCCATGTCCACCCCATCACAACTGTCTCCTTCAGAGCTGTGAACTGCCCGGCTGCTTCTAGCTGAAGGAGAGTCACTTGACCCAGCCTGGCTCTGGCCTCCAGCTTGGATTTCTTCAATAAACAGCTCTCGACGAATACGTGACCTGAAAGAAACATTGCAAAAAAGGAGTGTCACCACTGGTTGCAGCTGAGATGATAACGGAAGTTGCACCTGGCGCTTCCTCCAAGGACATCAAATGGGGTGTATCTGGGAGGATTCTATCATCATTACAGTGTCAACTCATAAAATATTTCTGTGGTCTTTTAGAGTTGCCAACAGAAAGGGAGGGGGAAGCAGTGGGCAGCTTGCATTCCATAAATGTTTTCAAAGATAATTTCTAGGCGACTGAGGTTTCTGCTGCACAAAATTCTAGCTGGGGAGTATGATTGATGACTCTTGGCTATGGATGTGTCCCATTGGAGAATATGAATTGTGATACACCAGGGATGGGGGAAAACCAGGGTCAAGGGTGGCAATGAATTATGTGTCTCAGAATTGGCTACACCCAGGCAATGCCACATCTTTTAACTCCCAATAAATCCTTTTGGAGTTTGGCTAGAGACTCATGATTTAAATAGGGTTAAATGTCAGAATCCTGACATACAGAGCAGGGGTCTCAAACTCAAGGCCCGCGGGGTGGTGGTGGTGGTGGATCTGGCTCACAGGGTGCTTAGATCTGGCTCACGGGGCCGCCTTGGAAACAGCAAAATTCTGGCCTGCAGTGCCCCTGCCAATGAAAACAGAGCTCGGGAGGGCCACACGCAGACTTCCTGAGCTCTGTTTTTGGCCACGATGGCCTTCTGCAGCTCTGCAGGTGTGTGGGATAGGTGTGGCATGGACTGGGTGCCTGAGAGGCATGGGGCAGGTCACAGAGGGTGCAAGGAGATGTGCAAGAGGTGTTGGGTGTATGAGGATATGCACAAGAGGCACTATTGCAGGTTGGGAAGGGGGTACAAGGGAGTGCATGAAAAGTGTGGCACATGGAGGGTGTATGAAGGTGGTGGTACAGGGAGGATCAGGGAGGGCCTCCGAGCAGCCAGTTTAGATAATCCTCAATTTACAACAGTTCATTTAATGACCATTCGAAGTTACAATGGTGCTGAAAAAAAGGGGACACATGACCGTTTTTCACACTTACAACCACTGCAGCATCCCCACGCTCACGTGATCAAAATTCAGACACTTGGCAACTGGTTCATATTTATGACTGTTGCTGTGTCCCGGGGTCCTGTGATCCTTTTTTGCGACCTTCTGACAAGCAAAGTCAATGGGGGAAAACCAGATTCACTTAACAACCATGTTCTAAATGGACAACTTCAATGGTTCACTTAACAAGTGTGGCAAGAAATGGTTGTAAAATGGAGCAAAATTGAGTTTACAAAAGAGGAGCTGGGGGAGGGTGTGAGGGTGGAGGAGCAACCTGCAACCTTCCCTGTCACAGATACTTTTGAGTCAACTGGAAGAGAAAGTTGCAAATGGCAATTACATGATTGTGGGATGCTTGGCAAGTACTTGTAAGTGTGAATCAGAGGTGGTATTCAGCAGTTTCTGACCAGTTCTGGAGAACTGGTAGCGGAGATTTTGAGTAGTTGGGAGCAGGGGTGGGATTCAAATTTTTTAACAACTGGTTCTGTGGGCATGTCTAAGTTGGTGGGGGTGGCTTGGTGATCATGTTATGGGTTGGGCATGGCCAAGTCAATATGACTCACATCGAGGCATGCATCTCCTCGCCTGGCCTCTCATGACTATGGGGATGCTGCAACAGTCATAAGTATGAAAAATGGTCATGTCACTTTTTTCAGCACCGTTGTAACTTTGAATGGTCACTCCACACAAGCAAAGTACCAGCAAAGGAGGAAAAAAAAACTCCAGAGAGGTTGCTGAGACAGGAAGTCTAGTCCTGCCAAGAATGTAATAAGGGTTAATGGAGAGGCAGTTTCTGTAAGCAAGACCAGAATGTTTCCTTCCTGCCTTCCTTACAGGATTAGGCCAGTAATTACTTCTAACAACCAGTTCTCCGAACTGCTTAGAATGTTAACAACCGATTCTAGCAAATAGGTGCAAACTGGTAGAATCCCACCCCTGGTTCGGAGAACCAGCAAATACCACCTCTGACTGGCCCCGCCCCCATCTCTTTTCTGCCTCCCGAATCCCAGCTGATCGGCTGGGTCTTCTTTTGTTGCCCTGCACAGGAGAAAGGAGCTGGAAAGCAGGTTAGTGGGGTGTGGAGGGAATGGGGATTTTGCAGTAACCTTCCCCTGCCACGCCCACTAAGCCACACCCACAGAACTGGTAGTAAAAAATTTTGAATCCCACCACTGGCGTGAATGGATTGCCAAGTACTCAGATTACAGTCATGTAACCGTGAGGATGCTGTGTTGGTCTGAACTCTGAGGACTGGCTCTAACTACCATTCATTCTTAGTACTGTCTCTGACTGAATGGTCATAAACTGAGGACTACTTGTACACTGCTTCTGTTAGACCAGGGGTGTCAAACTTGATTTCATTGAGGGCTGCATCAGGGTTGTGTTTGACCTTGGGGGGCCAGGGTGGGAGTGGCCAGCTCGACATCACTTGTGTTGGGGGCGCCTGTGGTGGCCTGAGCACTCTCTGCCAGCGAAAACAGGCTCCCGAGCTCCGTTTTTGGTTGCAATGGCCTCCTGCAACACTCTGTCAATGAAAATGGAGCTCTCCCGAACTCCTTTTTCACTAGCAGAGGCACTGCAGGCTGGTCCTTCGTTCTTTCCAGGGCAGCCCCATGGGCCAGATCTAAGCACCCTGTGGGCCAGATCCAGTCCCTGGGCCTTGAGTTTGACACTCCTGTGTTAGACATATACCAAGCTAACAGCTGAAATTGAAAGCCATAGTAAAGCAACTGCCCTTCCAAGAGCCTTGTGAGGAAAGGGGGAAAAAGACTGCTGGTGCTGCAGTAAAACCGGAAAACCCCGGAGCTACCTACCTATAATTGTGGAACCAATTAATGACAGTGCTGGTCTTCAAGTTGAGCTGTGTGGCAAGTTCCTCGATAGTTTTTGGTGATGGGTATGGCTTTTGCTGATAGGCTCGTTTCAGAGCTTCTTTCTCTTCTGGAGCCAAGACAACCCGTGGCTTCTTGAGCTGATGCTGTGGTTGTGGGCTGGCCCCCTGGCTGTAATCTATTCCAGTGGAAGATGATTCTGAAGGCTGGCTGTCACTGACAGAGCTGTGCCGCCGTTTCATGTATGCTGGAAAACAAAGGAAGCCACGCGGTCAGCCGGAGACAAACACGATGAATGGGGAAACCTGGTTCATAATGAAAAGGTTCTGCAACTCTATGGGACATAGGAAATCTGCTTAAAACTGGTTTACTTAGCTCAGACACACATCTGACAGTTTCTTTCCATGTTTCATGCACAAGATGTTTCTAGTCATCCTGTAGGGTACTGTGTGGAGTCTGAAATGCACTCAGAAACTGATAAACGGGATTGTATCTCATAGTAGATCAAATCAGACATTAGATCAAGATCTCCTGGAAAATCTTTTGGTGAATGGCAAAACACAGCTGTCCTTTAACATTGAACATTTGCAGTAATACTCCTCTCTTTATGCATTTAACTATTGAAACAATGCTTGGCTTAATCAACCATACAAAAGGGGTTTGATTTTTGTTTAATTATAAACCTTATAAAATAAATTCCTGAGTTTAGAATTATAAGTGCTTATCTTTTGCCTAAGGTTTCAACAGGGAGGCATTTCAGATTCAATAATAATATTAACAATCAGTGAGCCACCCAGTTAACTGCTGAAAGAAAATTGCACAGAGTAACTACAAATAATAGTATGACAAAGTAGCAACAATAGTACAATGGACTATCTGAAAGAAAGACCACTTGTCTGCAAATAAGAACCGGTGGGACCACAAAATAGACAAAATAATAGAAAATGAAGACTTAAAGTGGTCTGGGATTTTACTTATTTAAAATATTTATACACTAAAGCTGGTTGCTCATCTTCTAACCAGCCCTGGGCAGCTTCTAATCTTCAGAATTCAAGCAAATACCTGCCACTAACACCCCAGACTTAACAATTGTTGAAAAGAAAGACAGAAAAAGTCTGGATAATAGACACTGGAGTACCTGAAGACAGCAGAAGAGAAGAGTAAGAACTGGAGAAAATTACAAAATACAAAGATCTGAAAATAAAAGTAGAATGACTGTGGCAAAAGAAAACAAAGATAGTGCCAATAGAATTGCCAACAGAATTGGAATTGGTACAATTCCAAAATATCTGGAGTGCCACCTGAACACTATTGGCAACTACAAAACCACCATGAGACAATTGCAAAAGGCACCTTTACTTGGAAGAGCCTATATCCTGTAACAATACCTTTAACACCATCAAACAACACCTGCCTATTCCCGAACTTGATAGAGGGATAAAAATGCCAAATCCTGTCTAAACAACTGTGCAATGAACTACAATACAAATTCTACCATCCTGAAGTCTGCCTATCTCTGGCTTAGCTCCACAGGAGGCCAGGCAAGTTGCCCTATGACACTTAATGTCTTGACTACTATGAGAGTTACATAATATCCAACTCATTTGAAGAATATCTGCTTGCAAGTAACTGCCTAAAGGGGAAAACATAATTTCTATACTGGAATTCCAGTTTGAGAGAGCCAACTGGCCATCTGGCATGTCTTAACAGAAATCAGGATACCATCAGCCTCCATGAAAATCTTTGTAACTGAACCAGACTTATCGACCTAATGCTTCTGTTCCCTGATTGATGCTTCAGCTTGCAATCCCTTAGAGACGCCTCTAGCTTTATGTCTGCTCCTACCTCTTTCTCTCCTTTTTTGTTACTTTGGAACTCAGCCTTCACCTGATGTAAATTTGGGGTTGGCTCCTGGATCTTTGCCTGCTGATTCAGATGCCTGATTTGCAGCCCATCTCAGGCCGCATTTATTGTCCTGCAGCTAGCCCAAGGTCCCATATATCCTACCTGAGATGCTAGAGGTTATATTGGAGGATTTCTGCTGGCAAAGCATCTATTTCTTCATTATAGGTCCTCCTGTAAACATGAGTATCCTTGAACTGCCATTTCTGCTAACCGCAAGCAAGCAACCTCCATCCTCTAGAGCAGGGGTGGGCAAACTTTTTGGCTCGGGGGCCGCATTGACTTTTAAAATTTGACAGACGGGCCGGGTCAGCACAAGATTTTTTGGGAATCGCCCCCCCCCCTTCCCCCCCTCTTCTCCTCCTTCCCCTCCCCTCGGAGGCCCCCTGAGTCAGGAGTTGCTACCGCCGGTGCGGCTCCGCGCGGCTCCAGTCCTGCGTTGCCTCGGGAAGGGAAAGGCAAAAAGGAAGAGCTGCGGCGGTGCTTTGCAACGGCAGCAGTGGCACCGGAGGCTCAGGCTCAGCGGCTCCTGGTTTTGCCTTTCCCTTCCCAAGGCAACGCAGGACTGGAGCCGCGCGGAGCTGCGCCGGCGGTAGCAACTCCTGACAGCCCCAGCTGGACACCTGAGCGGAGCCCGGGCGGAACTGCCTGTTGCTGCTGCCGGAGCACCGCCGGGTCGCCTTCTCCAAGCAGCCCGCCCGCCCGCTGGGCTTCCCCTCCGCCGCGCGGCTCGGGGCCAGGCGCGAGCGCCCGCAAGTTAAAAGGAAGCCGAAAGTTGCTGGGAAGTTGCTCGGGTTTCCGGGGTTTCCAGGCTTAAACTTTGCACAGGCAAAGTTTGCAGGCGGGAGCATCTTCCCGCCGAGGAGCGGGAAGGGTTCCGCCCAGCGGGCTTGCGGGCTGCTTGGAGGAGGTGACCCGGTGGTGCTCCGGGTTTCCCCTCCACCGCACGGCTCGGGGCCAGGCGCGAGCGCCCGCGAGTTAAAAGGAAGCCGAAATTGCTGGGAAGTTGCTCGGGTTTCCAGGGCTTCCAGGGCTTTGCAAAGGCAAAGTTTGCAGGCTGAAGCGTCTGGCCCCGAGCCACACGGCAGCCTGCTCCAAGCAGCCCTCCCCGCCCGCCGGGCGGAACGCTTCCTGCTCCTCGTCGGGAAGACGCTCCCACCTGCAAACTTTGCCTTTGCAAAGCCCTGGAAGGCCCGGAAACCCGAGCAACTTCCCAGCAACTTTCCTCCTTCAAGCAGCCTGCCTGCCCGCCCGCCGGGCTTCCCTTTCGCCACGCGGCTCGGGGCCAGGCGCGAGCGCCCGCGAGTTAAAAGGAAGCCGAAAGTTGCTGGGAAGTTGCTTGGGTGCTGGGAGCAGGCTTTTAAAGTGCCGCCCGAGCAAAGTTTAAGCAGCCCGCCCGCCCACAGGGCGGAACCCTTCCCGCTCCTTGGCGGGAAGACGCTCCAGCCTGCAAACTTTGCCTTTGCAAAGTTTAAGCCTGGAAGCCCCGGAAAACCGAGCAACTTCCCAGCAACTTTCGGCTTTGTTTTAACTCGCGGGCACTTGCACCTGGCCCCGAGCCACACGGCGGAGGGGAAGCCCGGAGCGCCGCCGGGTCACCTCCTCCAAGCAGCCCGCCTGCCCGCCCGCCCGCCGGGCTTCCCCTCCGCCGTGTGGTTCGGGGCCAGGCGCGAGCGCCCGCGAGTTAAAACGAAGCCGAAAGTTGCTGGGAAATTGCACGGGTGCTGGGAGCAGGCTTTTAAAGTGCCGCCCGAGCAGGACCGCCAAGCCGGGAAACGGGGCACCAAGGCAGGGCAAGGCTCCACCAGCAGCGGCCTAGCTTTAGGTGGCTCCAAGCAGCCCGCCCCGCCCGCCGGGTGGAACCCTTCCCGCTCCTTGGCGGGAAGACGCTCCAGCCTGCGAGCTTTGCCTTTGCAAAGTTTAAGCCTGGAAGCCCCGGAAAAAAAAGGGGGATCGGCGGGGACTCACCTTCGGAGAGGTCACACTCGAAGGTGATTTCGAACTCCCAGCCGAGGCCTTTGCAAATTTCTTTTCTTTCGTACCCCTAGATCGCTCCGCACTGTTTTGCAGCTTTGGGGGCCACGCGGCACAGGGCAATACGCCACGCCCAGCGATTTTTTTTCAGGGGCGGGCCGGATTGGACAGACCAATGGCAGCGATTTTTTTTCAGGGGCGGGCCGCATTGGACAGACCAATGGGCCGGATGTGGCCCGCGGGCCGTAGTTTGCCCACCCCTGCTCTAGAGGGAGAACAGTGGGTCTGCACTTCATTTATATTTATGGTTGAAGACTGAAAAGTCCTTTTACAGTAGCAGTCATGTCCTGCATAACTATGCCTCAAGGAATTGTATATTTTATAAATTAATTAAAAAGTTAAATCAAATAATCTAATGATACAAATAATTTTACTAGCTTTACTAAGGATGACTACAAACTCTGCACAGTTGACTCAACCTCCCATCCTCCTGAGGTGGATAAAATGAGGACCCAGATTGTTGGGGGCCGTATGCTGACTCTGTAAACCGCTTAGAGAGGGTTTTAAAGCACTGTAAAGCAGTGTATAAGTCTAAGTGCTATTGCTATACTATATCACATACAGACTTCATGAAAGCGATGGCTAGGGTGTGAACAACCCTACTCAATTACTCACTTAGGCTATTTTTCTTCTCTCCTTGGTCTTGTCCCATTAAACAACTATTTTCAATTCACATGTAAGGAAGCAGGTGGCAACTAAAATCTTATCCTTGGATTTCCTTCCAGGTCTTCTACTCAGCACAGGGAAGAACCGATCAAAACACTTATTAAACAATTCGTATCAGGCACAGAGTATCAGATGGACTTTGCCCAGGATCCAAACTTTCTTGCCAGTGAATCTAAAAGATACTCTGCTTCTTTCATGGCATATTTAACTAAACTCATACTACCTAAACACAAAGGAGCTCTACTCTGGCATGATGTCATGCCTTCTCCACAGCTGCCCTTGAAGACAAATACATGGAAGATTCCCTACTTGGACTGAAAATGCCCCTGTGACTTGGACACCTAAAACAAAAGAGAGCAAGTGCTTTCTGTACTACAGAGACATTGACACTCGTCTGATCTTAATCATTAGAAATTTATACCACCTTGTTTCTTTCAAACTCTGCCACAACACACAACTTGGCCAGGTTCTCTGCAACAGTACTCAACATTTATTGGATAAGTTGTGCTTGCTCAACTTTATAAACTAAATTTAATGCTTACCTCGTTTGCCATATTAAGATGCTTTGTCACTTGACAGTCTTCTGCGTACTAATTTTTTATATTCCCCTATCTAATACTCCTAAATCTTTTTTAGATTCTCACTTTGTGTGTGTGTGTGTGTGTGTGTGTGTGTGTGTGTGTATTAAAAATATATATATATATATGCTTTTCATTTATGTATCTTTTATATCTACTAGCTTTTTGTAATTCTTTATACATTTTATACACACACATAAACCTACATACCTTCATTTTTAATGCTTCTTTGTAATGGCTGTACCCTATTCCCATACAGGTTTATGATTGTAATAGACTTGATTAATTGGTCTTTGGTGGATCAGATTATTCCATACTACCCTGGTTGTTCTTGCTAAATATTTTGATTGAACAAATTGTTTGAAGAGTTATCAGCATTTAAGATCACAAGAGGGCGCTTGGAACCTGTGGAATTTGTGACTCTGCTTTCCTGTTGGCAGATGACTGTTTTGATGACTTACAACAATGATAGGGAACTTAATACTCTTGTAGCTGTTATTAATTTCCAGCGGTGTCATCTGGGGCAGGTTTCTATCTCAGAAATACGTAGAAGTCCACAGATTCTGTATCCCACCAATTAATGTTTACCAAATGTGACCTGGGCTGTCTTGTAATGATTGAAGCATCTCCTAGAGAGCACACTGATTGGGCCAGTCTTTACACAGAGTCCTTGTCCTACAATCTGTTTATGTGGTGAAATCATTTATCAAAACCTTATGACCAACTATTACAGCCTGACTTAATCTAGTATCCTCCTGATATTGGAGACATGATAACCAAGAAAAGTGGGGGGGGGGGGGGGACACACAAAAACCAAGTTTTTCTACTGCTCTATTATGGTCTTGTATGGAAATAAAATAATACAAAATGAAGACAATAAAAGATAAGACTTCACATATGGTGACCAGATAGCTTTAATTAAGAGGGGACTGAACTAATTCAAGGGTGACTAGGTCAATGGTGGCTATTAGTCTTGATGGTTGTTTTCTAATGACCATTCAAATTTATGATGGCACTGAAAAAAGGGACCAATGATCAGTCCTGATACTTACAACCATCACACTCTCCCCGTAGTCACATGATCAAAATTTGGGTTTTGTCAACTGGCATGAATTTACAACAGTTGCAGTGTCCAGAGATCATGTGATTGCCCATTTGCAATCTACCCAGGGGACCTCTGACCAGCAAAATTAATGGAGGAAGCTGGATTCACTTAATAACCATATGATTTGCTTAACAGCCACAGCACCAATGTCATAAAATCAGGCATAACTCACTTAATGACTGTATGGCTTAGTGATAGATGTTCCAGTCCCAATTGTGGTTGTAAATTAAGGACTACCTATATGTGCTTGGATTACTGCATGTGTTCTATGTGGGATTACAGTTAAAAACAATTCTGAGCCAGCTGGTAAAGAATGTGTGGCTTACTTGTTGCCACTGATATAAGCACTTTATATCAGTAGTCCAGGACCTGCAGTCACTTCCTACTGCCTTCTAGGTGCAATTCAAATGGCAGGTTTAATCTGTAAAACCCCTATATATATCTGAGATATCTATAGAACCATTTTCTCCAAATGGAATTGAAATATCTACTCCAGTCATCCTTGGATAAAACTACTTGTACTTCTCCAAACAATTTGAAAAGGTAAGGCTTGCAACTCTGGGTTTTATTCTAATAGCATCCTAATAGAGCCTACCTAACTAACTTTGAGGAAGCTGCTAAAAACTAAATTGTTTCAGAAGCTTATGGCGATTGATATGACTACAAAGGGTTACTTATTTATTTAATTATCAAAGTTATATCCCATCTTTTGCTCAGGAGCTTGAAGCAGTGCATAATTATGACTTATTAAAGGCTTAGATGTTTTTATATTCTGCAGTTGTATACATTTGTTGCAAAAAGTCTAGATGACTGCATTAGGCACACACTGAATAAATATACATTATTTATGCATTTATTGGATACATTGGATATATAACCCACCATTTACTCTGGAGTTCCTGTGCTTTGTGATACAGAAGTTTTCTTTTTCAGCTATTCTTTTCCTCAAAGCTCTTTTCTTGCAAAATTATTGGAAAAAAATGGGACAACTAACTAGCTTAGGTGTTTCTACTGTATCCCTGGCTGCTGGTTTCATGTTATGCACATATGTGCTTGGTTTTGACTAATTTTAACCTTCCTGGATCAGATTAAGCACTTCTTCCCACACACTAACCTTTTTGATGTTTTATTTATTTATTTATTTGGATATCTAAGGCAACCCTATTGAAAACACCAACTCTGGGTGGCCCACAAGCTGTGGGAACTGCATGACTCAGAAGGTTATGCTCTTGGCCAGTGATATTTGGAACATATTGAAAACATTTTTCAATTAAATGAGAGAGTCATCCTGGGCTGGACATCAATTCCCCTCCCTTCGACTGCAGAAGTGACAGTTACCTTTCTTCTCCATGCGCTTCATGTCCATCAGCTTCTCCACATTGTTTGGGTCATTGAGCCACAGCTGCATGCGCACAAATGGCTCCCGGCCCTTCAAGCTCAGTTTGTGCCAGGGCTTTGGGCGAGCAAGTAGGTCTGAGACTGAGCCTTGGGTCAGCCCCAAGATCGTTTCCCCAAACAAACGCTGACCTGCAAAAGAAATGCAAACATCAAGTTATTTGTGTTAAAAAAGGAGAAAAATACCAAGTACAAGAGGAACCATTTTTATAGATCTATCGATCTATTTTTATAGATCTGGACACAAATGAAGGGGAAAAAACCCAATATACTTGAAAATCAAAAGATGCTCAATTGTTTGGGCTTTTCTTAACAAACGCTAAGAACCAGCAAGCAGTTTATAGGGAGATGGCTAATTCTTTTGGCCACTAAAGAGCTACCTGGTATCTGTACTGAAGAGGAAGACTGATCATAGCCAGTCTTTAAATGCTTTTCATTTCAAAGGCCTGGAATTTGGCACGCCAATTCATTCACAGAGTAGGGTTACAATAAAATGCTTCTGTTTTGTGTAGTAGCTGTGAAAAAAAATAGCTTGTTCCTTAGGTTATGGTTCAAGGAACGTTTTGATTCAGAAGCTCTTACTCTTTGAAAAATCATTTTGGATTCCGAGTCAGTTCTAGAACACAGGAAACAAAGAAGAGACACTCTAGCAAAGAGTATGGTCAACATCTTGCAACAACCGAGACTGTCACAGGGCTATACCTCCAACAGGTATTCACCAAAGCAGGTGACCAGCTCAAACTTTTCTACTTTCTCTATCAGCCTTCCAGTATTTAAAATTTTGTATGCTGAGAACCAGTTTGGTATTGTGGTTAAGGTACTGGGCTAGAAACCAGGGGATTGTGAGTTGTTAGGTATAAAACCAGCTGGTTGACTTTGGGCCAGCCACTCTCTTTCAGCCCAAGGAAGTAGGCAGTGGCAAGCCATATCTGAAATCTTTCCAAGGAACTGCAAGGAAATGTCCAGGCAATGTCCTGGCATCAAAAAAGTCCCTCTCTAAGGAAGATGAGCAATTTCTAAACCTGATAAACAAACTAAAAAGCAAACAAAACCAAATCCAACAATGATCTAGCATTAGACAAACAGATACTTTCATACATTTCCCCCTAAAACCTTTTTTTATTTAATAAAAGTCAAATGATGATTAATGCTTTTCATTAAAGAGTAAAGGCTTATAAAGTGATCTCATGAAAGCAGACATGCAAATAATAGTAAAAAAAAATAGTGGGATAGGATAGCATTGTACTGTAATCCAAATGAAATATGATTAAAATCAGAATTAACGACATGCTTAAAAGACTCCAGCAGTGAAGTGGGATATAAATCCACAATGGAAACTAAATAAAAAAAAAATCCTTTTGATTCTGGAGTTCCTGAAATGATTTATGGAAAAGGAAGCTGAGGGAAGAAACGCATAATGCCTTTTGAGGGTGGAAAGGCCTATTCTACAAGAATGTATGACTGGGTTATAATAGTTAAAACACGGACTGGAACCACGGAGTCCCAGATTTTACGCCTGGAAGCTCCTGTAATGACATGGGGGCCAGCCCCCCCAACTCCCTCAAAGAGTGCTATGTTTGCTGCCTTCACGGAATGAAAGGTGGGGTATCAATCTGGTAAGGGGATAAAAACATATTCATATTGCCTGCCAGTCACCGGAGCTAATGAAGCCCATGTGTTGTGCCCAAAGCAGGGCATCTCCTCACGCAAATCCCAACCAATCAATTATGGTTATGATAGCCTCAAGGCTTCCAGGCTGCAACTTCAAACTAAATGAATTACACCCAAATATAGCCCCATGAGCGGATGGACAAGAATGCTCCCCCCCCCACTAATTTCTTTGAAGGTCTAATTATCAGGATAACTTTGTCCTTCCCCCAGGGTTGCTGTTTTCATGGGCAAAAGGACAAGACTGATTCTCCTAGCTGGGAGGACTTCCTGCTGTTCAAGGTTGAGGACCTTACAAGGGAGATAATGGAAATAAAGACTAGCAGCAGACTGAAACAATTTCCAACCTGCATTTCCTTAGTCAGCTCCTACCATTCAGGGCACCAGATGCTCAAACTGTACTGTGGTCAGGCTTCATAAGAGGGCCATTCCATTAAGCTAATTAAAACCATTCAAACAATCAACCTGGCACACCCTTGCTCCCTGCTCAGCCGCTGGCATGCCAAAGCCTTCTGGAGAGTAAACTGTGTGTTTTTTTTAAATTTCGAGACCAAATGAACTATCAGGATGGAAAGTTTTCGTTTTACCTATTTTTGCTTTCACAGAAACTTTCTTAGTGAATGAGTCTGCTCTAAGTCTAATGCTCAGTTCACATACACACCTGAATCTGCGGAAACTTAAAAAGACTACAGTACTTCTCCTTCCAATTTGATGTCAGTTATACAAATCTGAAGGTTACTAATTCCTAGAATATTCTGGTTTATCTTTGCAGCAGTGGCTGAAAGGACAGGTGCGAAAATATGTCTGTCTTCCCTGTTCTTCCATCCCATAAATGTCTCTTATGCAGCAACATTTTTTTTGAACTAGGTAACAATTCCCTTGGACTGATTTCATTTTAGCAAGCATTGCCCTACCGGAAATATTTACTGGATATGACACAGCCAGTTTGCCCAACTCATTGTCCTCCAGATGTTGAGACTATAATTGGGAGTCTAATCCATCTGGATTAGACTATAATTCTGGAAGTATAATCCATCTGGAAGGTACCAAAATGGGAAGGCAATGTAATCTACTCACCAAAGCTCCATTAGAACAACAGAAGCACACAATTGAAAGAAGACGTTAAAGGTCTCAGGCATTAACTACTTTAACCACTTTAACCAGGAGACTGACTAACTTAAGGTCATTCACTCTCTCTCAACCCTAATGAGGGAGACAATGGGAAACCACTTCCACCTGAAGGCAGAAACACAAACCAAACTTTAAAAAGATTTAAGTCAGTAAGTCCAACCTCCTGACTTCTGCAGGGATCCAAATCAAACTATCTCCAATAAGATGGTTTGATGGTGGGATGGGTGGCACATAAATTTAATAAATAACCTGGCTGTCCAGCCTTTGCTTGAACACATTCAGGAAAGAGGAATATACCCCCTGTGGGTAATTGGCTCCACTTATTTACCTGTCATATTTAAAAACTATCTCCTATGAAAACCAATCTCAAATCATTTTCCAAATTATAAAATGTAATAATGAAACAAGAAGTGAAAACAGTACAAAATATAATTAATTGAAAATGTCCTGGTAGAGAAGAAAATAGAAGCAAAAGACCCTTCCATGCACCATTTATAAAAGAGGCCTACCCTATCTGGAACAATTAAGTCTCCCCCAAAACCGTGAAGGATATAATAATGTCACAATAATTTCAGAACAGTTCAGCATGTAGGTACTACCATGAAGAAGGCCCTCCTTGGCTAATAAAGCATCACTGTGTAATTCTAGTGTCTAGCCACTGACAAAATATTTACATGCCAAAAGCCAAATCCTGAACTTGGCTCAAAGATTGATGGGTAAGTGGGATGGTCACTTTGTTAGCAAATAAAGTAATATGTGCATGACTAGTGCCCAATCTGGTGAGGTGGTTATTACATTCTAGACCAGCAATAAGTAATTAAAAACTTTTCTTGCTACTGGATCTCTGCAACTAGTATTCATTAGCACTCCCCTCTTCCATCTGTAGTCTATTTCAAGCCATTATATTGAAAACTGCCAGCAGTGCCTTTTCATTTTCACACCTCCTACAGTTTCCTTTGTTATGACTATGGCTCCTGATTTTAAAAGATGCTTACCTGCCATTGCATTGATTGGTTTCAATATTTTGTATTGGATTTGTATTTATGTATTTATCAATTTACTTATTATTTAATCATTAATTTATATTGAATAAAACATCCTATATACTTTTGCTTCCTTCTGTTTAACAGAGGCTCTCAGTTTCTTGTTTAAAAGTTTTACTATCCAGAGATGATTGTCTATTTTGTGGATGGGGAACACTTAAAAATATTCCAAAATCTATTAATTAATAAAGAGGAGCATATCAATGAATTGACAGAATTAAGCACGATTTATTGTGGCAAGAAACCATGAATGGTTCAAGAACCGTTTACTTGGAGGTCCTTTCATCAATAGGTTTTCCCACCTTTCATATGTAGCAAAGGAGTTTTCATCGGCAGCTCCACGGGGACTGATGCTCTTCAGCCAATTTTTTCCCCCACCTGGCACAGACCTTTTCATTTTGCTAAACCTTTTGACTTTAGATAAACTGTTTATTCTGGCTAATGCTTCTTTTATAGCAATATGGAAAAAAAAACCCCGCACAGCAATTTGATATATTCAGTCTTGTTCTTGAACTAAATTCTTTTATGCGGCAGTTAAACTTACAATATGACATATTGAACAGAAAAGTGGGGGATAGGGATTATATCAAATATTCCTCTTCATTTTCAAGAGCTTTCTGAGCTTTCTAGGCAACCTTTCTCTTAATATATTGGACTATTCTTGGATGAAAAGGTCCCCGTACGAAGAAGATGGATGAGGATGGAGGGTGTGAGAGGAAACTTTCTGTTTGCCCTATAGAGATTACGGTATTTTTTTCTTCTACATCTGGGCAGTGGAATGAATACAGAGGGGAATTCAGTGTAGTTTTCTCTAGCTGTAACTGAAGCACAGAGGAGGAAAATTGTCTCAGTGAAGGAAAAAGAAGTGCTGTGGCAAAAGGCTTTACATTCAAGCAGACGGATTACATCTCAATATGTAGATTAGTACTGCCACATATCTATGCATGAAATCGAGAACTTGACAATGCCCCCACCCTCCACCCCAAATTTCATGCAAAAACAGGATCTGGATGTGAAATATTTCACCATGGATAACTGCTTGTGTTCAGTCATCTATACAATATGCACAATTCAAAGGGACCGTTGTTAGCAACATTTATAGATCTGAAAATTACACTGGTGGCTGCAGTTGTCTAAAACTGTGTCTTCTCTTTTGTTGTCTTGTCACAATACTTTATTCTAATATGGAGGTCAGCAACACAGTTCTTGAAGATGCTGATGAGCCAGTCAGATTAGACTTTTGACAATCACTATGTAATTTTCTCCTCATGCAAGCGATATTTGTACTGA